TCTTGTAGGGAATTAATGGCATAAAATCATATTTAGAAAGGAAAAAAAAAACGAAATCCAGATGGAGATTCTGGAATCGTAGAACAAGAACATCATAAATGCATGTCGTGTGGCCAAGTGTGTTTTTTCTTTCTTGCTTCTTGCTTCCAAAGAGCCCACATGTCTCCGCCTCGCAACTTCGAAGAAAATTAATTAAATTAAATATTTACAGAAAATAAAGATAAGGAGAAATACAGAAAGAAAACGAGGCTTTGGATCCATCGACCCCATTGGACTCTTTTCTTTCTATCTTTTTTTTTTATATATAAAAAAAATTGGTTGCATGGAGAATTCCCAAAAATCAAAACAGTAGTGTTGCAGTTGCTGATGGTACCCCCCCCCCCCCCCTTTTTTTTTTCTCGCGACTCTGCAACATCTAAAACTGAAAATTCTGTGTGCAGCATAATGGACAGATTGCCAAATGCTCGGATTGCTTTCATTGGAGATGGACCATACAGGTAACAATAGCTCTAAAGAAAGTTCATTCATTTCTCTCATCTGTAATGACCAGAGAACAGCTATGTCACATTTTCCTTGATTCCTGGGCATTTAAAAAAAAACTGCGCTTAGCTGAGCATATGATAATCATTTATGTTCTTAGAGAGGAGCTAGAGAAGATGTTTGCCGGCATGCCAGCAGTTTTCACGGGGATGCTGCAAGGGGAAGAGCTCTCACAAGCTTATGCGAGCGGAGATGTGTTTGTGATGCCATCTGAGTCAGAGACGCTAGGCCTCGTGGTACTGGAGGCAATGTCCTCAGGTCTCCCTGTCGTGGCAGCTCGTGCTGGTGGAATCCCCGACATTATCCCCGAAGAACAGGTCGAGGAAGAACACCTAACATGTGTTTGTGGTAATGAATGTATTAATCAAATGCCCTTTTGAGCTGATTGATTGTAGTTGTAACTTGTAATGGTTTAGGAAGGTAAAACCGGGTTTCTGTTCAATCCGGGGGATGTGGAGGATTGCCTGAGCAAAGTGAGACAACTACTGGATGATCCTGAGAAGAGGGAGACGATTGGAAAAGCAGCAAGAGAAGAGATGGAGAAGTATGATTGGAGGGCTGCCACTAGAAAGATACGCAACGAGCAATACAGCGCCGCCATTTGGTTCTGGCGGAAGAAGAGATCTCAGCTTCTCGGCCCTTTCCATTGGCTGGTGAATCGGCTCTTTCCATCGCCGGAAGTTGATGTCTAGATTGTGAAGATGACAAGATTGGTTGTCGGGATGATATGAGGATTGTGTGGATAGTTATTGTTTGTTGTTTGATTGATTGTCAATTTGTTCATTGAAGGTGCTTGTTGTAAGATGTTAGATGATATTGTACGGATTTTTAGTTGATACGTGTATATGTATGTTATATGTATATGCATATATATAGCTTCTAACAATCTTCTTTGGCTGTCTAAATGTCGTTGTACATTTGGAAATGTAGTATGGTAAGTTAGAAAATTCGTACAGATTCTAGACAAGTATAACAAAATTTTTATGAACAAGTGTGTAAAATCTCAATAAGGCTTTAATATGATTAATAGAATAAGTTTGACGATTTCAAGTTTTCACACCTAGTACAAGTTTATTATTAATTTATTTGTTAAATAATGAAAATTTATTTTAAACTTGTGATTGTACATGAACTGCACGAACTATTATATATTTATAATATACATATTTGATAAGTTCCAACACATGAGATTTATACAACAACATCAATAGTTGTAAGTATTTATGATTCAATTTTAATTCTGCACAAGATCTTATATGTTACGTATTAAGATCACACTTTAGTAGATTTAATTTCATTCTAATATTTTCTTTACTTATATGATATGGTTTCTTTTAATGTTCATGTAGAGATGATATTCTTGACATTATTAGTTTTGTCCGGAGATTCGAAAAGAAGAGGAAGAGCTCCTTCTCTTTTTTGAATCTAGATGAATGTCGGTTGGGATTGGGGGTTCGGAATCCCTACCGTTACAATGGCTATCGCAATTATGTTTTTCTTCACAGATCGTTAATGTTACAGAATTCAAGAGCTCGAAGGAAGTCCTATCACGAAGATTCCCTAAGTTATTGTTACATCACTAAAGAAGTTGAACGCCAAAGTTCTTGAAGATAAATCTCTTCTTTATGAGGGTGAAAAGTTAGAGAATACAATTAAAGGAAGCCGCAAGTTCAAGCACACCGACAAACTCACGCAAATGTAGATACATGTTATAAAAAGTCCAACATAAGTTAGTTTGTGGTCATTCACATGAACAAAATACATATTCCAAATTCTTTATGGGATTTTCGACAAGGCTGCAGTGCATAGTGAGTGCGATAACCCGAGTGGTCCACCGAGTCCTTGGAGGCTATGCACGATCACACAAGTCGAGTAGCTCAAAGCGTTGATCCGTCTTTTGCCTATTTTGGCCTATAGTGTACAACCAAAATGAGTTATTGTCCGTCTGTTAAGGAAACACTATGGACCAATATGGGACCTCATTTCACCATTCCTTCTGCCTCACTCTCCCACTTTGAGAGTCTCAACATCGTCATCTTGGCACCAATCTATGACCAAACCATCGTCCCTTTCGCATGCAAATTCATCGGACACGAACGTGGGGTCACCCAACTCTAACGAATGGGTATCGATATCGTCATCTCCATCCTCTCCATGATCTCATGAGACATACTCGAAACCGTACGCCTGAACCACATGAGAACGTACAACTCTTCCACCACATGAGATTTTGTTAAATAATATAAATTTATTTTAAATTTGTGATTGTACATAAAATGCACGAACCATTATATATTTATAATATACATATTTGATCAATTTCAATACATGTGCATGGATTTCGTAATCTCCATTTTCTCCATGCATTTCAATGAATATCCTTTAAATCGTATGTTTAACTTTGCAAGAAGGAAACCAGAAATTAGCAGGCATAGTCTAAAATTTTATGCAAAACTAAATGAAAAGAGTATAGACGATATAACGATCGAATGAAAAGAGTAAACCGATAACAAAATTCGGGATTTCGAAAACTGATAATATATCAAGATTATGCAACAATTTTTTTAAAGATATTTCATTAAATATAACAAAATATTTATAAATAAAGTATTAAAGCTAATCCGTAAATAGAACTATGTATAAGATAATAATCTATAGTAACACGTATTATTTCACTTTTTTTTTTTCTATTTATCCAATTATAGAAAACAATCTTCGCCATAGGAATATGACACGTCTTTCATTGGTGGAATGTAACAAAATGTAATTATTTGCACAAATGACCATTAATTTTTTTTTATTTTATTTATTTTTATCACCCAAGCGATTGCTTGTTCAAGGTGATGTCCTCCAGCTAAGAATTTTCTTTCAATTACTACCTTAATTATTCCCTTAATATAGTTTAAAATTAAAATATATCTTACTTTGTTATAAAAATACAAAAATCAGAATCTTCTACATAAAAAAGATACCAAGAATCTTTGCCACCTAACATCGAATTCATTATTGTACAAGAATGTAACGAAGATATTTTTCATTGTACATGAGTTGTATTTTCATTATTTTGCTCTGTTTGAATCGATTGGCTAGATATTTCCATATTTTGTACTTTTGAGCAAAATTTAGTAAATATCTCGATATGGTCTAGATACTAAAAATATTAAAAATATCAAAACTGAATTTTTAGTTTCCTAAATGAGGGTCTCTAGACAAAATTAATATAAATATGCCAGTAACATTGTTATAAATACGAGGGGTTGAATGGAAATTAATGGGATAAAATGTATACTAACGTACAATGTATGAGGGGATTTTGAAAATACAATTAAATATAAGGGTGTAATTATGAATAATTCTAGCCCGGATCTGTTTCATTAAATTGGTTATAAATAGGAGGAGAGGGAGCATTATCAACAACGTGTAAGGTCTCTGTCTCTATTTTTCCGCCGAGCTGTTACATCTCCGGCCGCCGGGAGGACGCCACCGCCGTTTCCCCTGTATCCGCCATCTCCACCGCCTCTTCTCTGCCGGAAAAAGTACGCGCGGTATGTGCTTCACTGTTTCTCACTCTCTTTCTCCCAGAAAATTTGTATTCCACGAGAGATACAGATTTGATTTTGTTTATATCTCTCTCTCATGGATTCCTTGTCTCGATCTAGCATTAACCTTCGATCGGAAATACTGACGATGTTTTTACGAAGCGCATGCATGTATAAGACATGTGTGAGGGGAAGTTCTCAAATGCTCAGATAATTATTCATCTAAATCATTGTTTCAAACATTCTTTGCTTACCACTAGTTAAGTATGAGAAATTCTCATAAAATTTACCTTAGTCAGAAACTCGTTATCCTATACCTTTGTGGTTTTTCGCACTCAGACCAGAAGACTCGGAAATTTCCACAATGACTGAAGAGGATATCTATACGCAAGATGGAACGGTTGACATACGCAAAAGGCCTGCTAATAAGAAAGAAACCGGAAACTGGAAGGCTTGCAGATTCATTCTCGGTATTTCACAAGCGATCCAAAGAAATATCCTTTAATCTCTCTTCCTAAGAAATTTCAAATTCCCATCAATGTAGGACTTTGCTAACATTTATATTGATCAATGGCTTCGTAAACTATGGTAGGAAATGAGTGTTGCGAGAGGTTGGCTTACTATGGAATGGGTACTAATCTCGTGAACTATCTCGAGAAGAACCTCAATCAGGGCAATGTTGCCGCCGCAAACAGTGTCACGAACTGGTCTGGAACGTGTTACGCCACCCCTTTGCTTGGAGCCTTTCTTGCGGATGCATATTTGGGTAGATACTGGACAATTGCCTCCTTTGTCATAATCTATGTCTTTGTGAGTTTTTCTTGATCAGAAAGATTTACTTTTTCATTTTTGCAATCAGTTACAAACTTTTCTTGATGTACAAGCGTGAGAAATTTATATGATATGACTTCTTTTCATGTCTGAGTAGGGAATGACGCTCTTGACTCTATCAGCTTCTGTTCCGGGGCTCAAACCTTCATGTCAAGGAGATGTGTGCAACCCGACTACAGGACAGACTGTTGTCTTCTTCATAGCCCTTTATATGATTGCCCTTGGAACTGGTGGCATCAAACCATGTGTTTCCTCATTTGGGGCAGATCAATTTGATGAATCAGATGATGCCGAAAAGAAGAGGAAAAGCTCATTTTTCAACTGGTTTTATTTCTCGATCAATGTTGGCGCTATGATTGCGTCATCTGTTCTCGTTTGGATTCAGATGAACGTCGGTTGGGGCTGGGGTTTTGGAGTCCCAACCGTCGCAATGGTTATCGCGGTCATGTTTTTCTTCGCGGGTAGTAAGTATTACAGACTTCAAAAGCCTGGAGGTAGTCCAATCACAAGAATTCTCCAAGTCATAGTTGCGGCATTCAAAAAATCAAAGGTGAAAGTCCCCGATGATAAGTCTCTTCTTTATGAGGTTGAAGACGCAGAGAGCACTATCAAAGGAAGTCGCAAGCTTGAGCATACCGACAAACTCACGTATGTGTGATACATGTTATAAACTTCATATCGACTCTTATATGTTGATCGTTTTAGTTGATGTCAACATAGGTTTTTTGTTGTCATTTTGTGTTGATTATCAAAACCGCATAAATGAGAGATTTTGTTTCACCCTTTTACAGGTTTTTCGACAAGGCGGCAGTGTATAGTGAGAGTGATAATCCAAAGACTAGTAGTCCACCGAACCCTTGGAGGCTATGCACAGTGACACAAGTCGAGGAGCTCAAAGCATTGATCCGTCTCTTACCTGTGTGGGCCTCAGGAATCGTCTTTGCAACAGTATATAGCCAAATGAGTACAATGTTCGTCCTCCAAGGTAACACCATGGACCAACACATGGGACCTCATTTCACCATCCCCTCCGCCTCACTCTCCCTATTCGACACCCTCAGCGTCCTTTTTTGGGCGCCTATTTATGACCAATTCATCGTCCCATTTGCACGTAAATTCACGGGGCATGAACGCGGATTTACCCAACTCCAACGTATGGGCATCGGCCTCGTCATATCCGTCTTCTCCATGATCACGGCAGGCATCCTTGAAGTCGTACGCCTAAACTATGTGAGAACACATAATTTATACGATCAAGAAACCGTACCAATGACTATATTCTGGCAAGTGCCTCAATATTTTCTGGTGGGTTGTGCGGAAGTGTTCACGTTCATAGGACAGCTCGAGTTCTTCTATGACCAGGCTCCCGATGCCATGAGGAGTCTATGTTCCGCCTTGTCCTTGACGACAGTTGCTCTCGGAAATTATTTGAGCACGCTACTAGTTACGGTGGTGACGTCAGTGACAACGTCAGGAGGGAGGCTGGGTTGGATCCCTGATAACTTGAACAGAGGTCATCTTGATTACTTCTACTGGTTGTTAGCCATCCTGAGTTTACTCAACTTTTTGGTCTACCTCTTGATATCCAAATGGTATACTTACAAGAAAGCGGCAGGGAATACCCTCTGATATTACCGAAAGTTGCGACATTTGTTTCTCGTATTATTCAATGTCTCTAATATTTCTTTTTTCTGTTTTAATTAGTTTGAATTATCGTGATGTTATTAGCGACTTTAAATAAAATAAATATATATAGTTTGTGTTGGTGAATATACATATTGGTCTCGCCATCTCCATCCCTCAAACTTTTTTTTACTTAAAAAAAAAAGAACCGAGGAAGAAAAACTTTAACAACGATATGTAGAAATAGAACGTAAATTGATTATCTAAACATAATTAATCTATATTTATAAAATTTTCAAAAGGAATAATGCAACTTCTTTCTTTATTTTTTTAAATGTAACATTCTAAACAATTCTAATAAATTTGTTATTAACAAGCGTAAAGTTTTATTAAGGCTTATTACTTAATACAAGTTTATTATTATAATTTAACTTATTTCAAAGGTGTGATTGTACATAAACTGCACGGACTATTATATGTTTATAATATACATGTTTGTTAAGTTCTAATGCATGTGTATCGACTTCGTCATCTCCACTCTCTCAATAATTTCAATGAGTATCATTAAAGTCGTACGTTTAAATTACGTGATAACATATACATACAACTAAGACCAAAAGTTCTTCGATAAGGCTGCATTGTATAGTGAGAGAGATAGCCCGAAGACCAACTGTCCACCGAACCCCTAGAGTTTATGCACGATCACACAAGTCGAGGAACTTAAAAGCATTGATTCGTCTCTTACATGTTTGGACTTCTGGAATCGTCTTTGCAAAGGTGTACAACCAAAGTACCACATTGTTTGTCCTTCAAGGAAACACTATGAACCAACACATTGGACCTCACTTGACCATCTCCTCGACCTCAGTCTCCCTCCTCAACATCCTCAGTGTCGTCGTCTTGGCACCTATCTACGATCAAACCCTCGTCCATTTCACACGGAAATTCACCGAACACGAACGCGGGTTCACCTAGCTCCAACGCATAGATATCGGCCTTGTCTCCTCCATATTCTCCATGGTCTCAGTGGGCATACTCGAAGTCACACGTCTAAATTACGTGAGAACACATAACCTCTACGACCAAAAAATAACTTTATTTTGGCAAATCACATATATTAACTTTACTATGATATTGTTCTTGCCATTTGCATCCCTTAATTTCTTTTTCCTTAAAAAAAATAATCAAAGAAGAAAACTGTTAGCCACGACAACTAGAAATAGAATATAAATCGATTATCCAAATCATAATTATTTGTATTTAAGAGAATTTCAAAAGCAATTTCTTTCTTTTCTTTTATTTCTACCACAAATTAAGAGAAACTCTTTCTTTTATCTTTTTATATGTAACAAATTGAAAAAATTGTAATAAATTTGTTATAAAAAAAAGTGTAAACTCTTAATAAGGCTTATTGATTACTTAAATTTTGTGCACTTAATACACGTTTATTATTAGACTATTGGTTAAATAATTTAATTTATTTGAAACGTGATTGTACATAAACTGCACAGAATATAATATATTTACAATATACATACTATTATATATTCTCGTCAATGTAAAATTTTCCATCATTTAAATTCAGCAAAAGTTAGCTTCAATCTCTTAAGAAAGAAAAGCTTTTAGTGTGGACTCGTAAGGCATGAGTTGTGCAATGTGTATTTTTTTTATATATAATTTGATCAATGACATTGTAAACTATGGTAGGAAACGAGTGTTGCGAGGTTGGCTTACTATGGAATGGGTACTAATCTCGTCAACTATCTCGGGAAGAATCTCAGGGCAATGTTACGAAATGGTCTGGAACGTGTTACGCCACCCCCTTGCTTAGAGCGTTTCTTACGGATGCGTATTTAGGTAGATACCGAACAATTGTTCCTTTGTCATAATATATGTCTTTGTGAGTTTTTCTTGGTCACAAAGATTTATTTTTTCATTTTTGCAATCAGTTACAAACTTTTCTTGGAAGTATAAGTGTGAAAATTTATATGATATGGTTTATTTTCATATATGAGCAGGGAATGATGCTCTTGGCTCTATCATCTTGTGTTTTGGGATTCAAATCTTTGTGTTAAGGAGACGTGTGCAACTCTACAGGACATATACCATTGTCTTTTTCATAAGTCTTTATATGATTGCCCTTAGAATTGGTGGCATCAAACCTTGTGTTTACTCATTTGGGTCAACTCAATTTGATGAGTTAGATAAGATCGAAAAGAAGAGGAAAAACTCATTCTAAATAAGGCTTATTGATGATTTAAACTTTGTACATATAAGTTTATTATTAGACTATTTGTTAAATAATTTAACTTATTTCAAACGTTTGATTGTACATAAACTGCACAAGCTATTATATATTTATAATATACATATGATAAGTTCAAATGCATGTGTATCTATTTAGTAATCTTCATTATGGAGATCTCAATTAACATCTTTAAAGACGTACATTATAACATATACAACCAACAAATTGTGTCAATGACTATATTCTGCAAATGTTGTGTGTTACACGTTTCACGTTTACCGGACAGCTTGTTTAGAGAGGTTTGGGACTGAAATTTATATATCCCTTACTCATGATATATAGAGGACCACATGTTTACTTAATTCAGATTTTGTTTTCTATCAAAATCATTTATTCATATATATAGAATAATAAAAATTATATATGTACATAATATTTATTGCAATACATAATATTTAATTTATTCTTCATTTTTTTCTAAATAGAAGAATTTCAAGTAAAATAATATGTTTATTACTTTACCAAAAAAATATGTTTATTAAAGTGCATATATATATATATATATATATAATAAAAACTATAAAGCCTATATCGTATAAATGATCTTCCATGTAATTTTTTGGTTTCGTCTAAAGATAAATACATTTAGGGAATTGAAAGAGACAAACCCTTAGTATGAAATGGTCGAATTGAGCGTGAAGGTCCATTGTGTAAAAATGTGAAATTATGGGGAGAAATGTTTGATGTTTTGAAACTGTTTAGTTCTCTGGTTTGTCATTAATGTTTTTTTTTGCTGTAAATATTTGCTTATTTTAAATATAAAATAAATTGAATATGATTTCGTTATTAGATTCTGTTGTATTATTTTTCCTTGTTCTACCGATCAAATTATAGAAAACAATCTTTGAGTCTTTGACATAGAAGGACACATTGTTTTTTACTTTTTTTTATTTTATATTTGTCCTCAAGGCTCAAGCAATTGTTCGTAGTATCTACAGCAATGGAATTTCTGTCAATTTACAATCTTAGTCATTCTTTTAGTATAAGTTTTAGAAATAAAATTATCTCCTATTTTGATGTAAAAATGCAAAAATCAAAATCTTCTATTTTTGAGAAAATAATAAATACCATTCTACGAATATATTACAGATCATATTGAACTCATTATTGCGTAAGAATGTAGTGAAGATATTATCATTGCAAGCGAATGAATTTCATAATTTGGCTTGTGTTGATTGGCTAATTATTTCAATATTTTTTTCTGATACTCTAAATATATACTCTCTCTCTATAACTGTTGTGAAGGGAAGTTTTCTTGGAGGACGATGACAGAATATACGCAAGATGGAACGATCGACATACAGAAAAGGCCTGCTAACAAGAAGGAAACCGAAAACTGGAAGGCCTGCAGATTCATTCTCGGTATTTCACAAGTTTCGCCCAAAAACAAATCTCCCATTTAAATTATCTTGCTCAAATTTCACATTCCCATCAATGCAAGACTATATATATATATATATATTGATAAATGACGTTGTGAACTTGTAATGTTTATGGTAGGGAACGAGTGGTGTGAGAGGTTGGCTTACAACGCAATGAGCAATAATTTGGTGAACTATCTCGAGAAACAACTCGGTCATGGCAATGTTGCCGCTTCCAATAGTGTCACCAACTGGTCTGGAGCTTATTACGTCACCCCCTTGCTCGGCGCCTTTCTTGCAGATGCCTATTTGGGTAGATATCGGATAATTGCAATCTTTGTGATAATCTATGCCTCTGTAAGTTTTTTATTTTCTCATTTTTCTAAAATCGTATTACAAGTTTTTCCTAAACTTATATACATGATATGGTTTTTTTTTATGGTTGTGTAGGGA